CGGCAGCGGCAGCGACAGCGGCAGGGCCTCGAGCGCCCACAGCCCACCTCTCGGGGGCGGGCTCCCGGCGTGAGCAGGGCTGACGAGAAGATGGAGGAGCTGGTGGTGGAAGTGCGGGGCTCCAATGGCGCTTTCTATAAGGTACTTGGCTGCAGGGCAGGCCCCATGTTCCCCCTCGCTCCCTTCCCTTGTCTTCTCGGGGTCGGTGGGAGGCAGGCCCGGGGCCCCTTTCACCGGCGCCGCGCCCGCTGGCCGGGACATGCCGGGCAGGCTGTGATTTGGGAGGGAAGGACCGGACTTGGGGCCTATAGGAAGCCCCTGGAACTCCGCTCAGGCTCCCATGTAGAGGCCCCGGCCATGGGCGGAATGAGAAGGGAACGGGCACCACCGGGTCCCTTCCGCCGCCAAGCCCCGCGGGGGAGAGCGGGCATGGGCAAGAACCGGCGGCAGGTACCAGATCCCGGCGAGAAGGGCGGAATGGGCGCTAAGTAAAGGCGAAGGCGCATCCCCCCCCACCCCCCTTTGCCTAAGAATCCTCCTGCCGCCGCGGGCTTGGGGCCTGCCTTGCGGGGAGTTGTGCGGGAGCGGAAGGCGCAGCAGCCGGACCGCGTTCGCCCAGAGGGCTTCAGGTCTGTACGGACTCCAGTGTTCTGTTCCAGAATTGGGACTTCCAAGAGCTTCCCTGATCTTGGGTGAGGAAGGGGGGGGTGTCGAAAAAGAGTAGTAAGAAGCGGTAGTGAGCACCTATCACAATAGCAACTGGCTTTTTAGTGGGGCTCTCTTTGTGAATGTCAGGGGAGATTTTAGATGCAAAAGTTTCAGGAAGACCCAACCATATCTGAGAAGATGCCTCAAAGAAGTTAGCCACCGGCGATCTCGCCGGCCCCTTGCCCCTTTGATAAATGAGGGTCGGCTCAGGAATACACATGCTTCCGCGTCTAAAAAATCGTCAGCAACTCTGCCACTTCAAGTAATTCTTTTGTCTTTTAAGTTCTCGAAGACCGGAATATATGCCAGAGAACTTCAGGAAATTAACGGGGAGTATGTGACTACTAGGGAATTTTACTAGGGAGTGTTTGGAAATATTTATGTGCTCAAAACTTCACTAGATTCTCTTCGATTTTAAACGTGTTACGGTGGACGCTATGCTAGAGCTTTTAAATAGCCATTTATACATGTACTGTGTTTTTAGTTACGTCATTGAACATCAGCTAATGTCTTTGCAAACGAAGATTGAAATATTGGGATGCAGCACTGGTGTGTTTGTTGGTACTAGTTTACTGTTGACCTAACAATCTGATTTTTCCCTTTCCTCTTGAGTATCTCTGACCTCTGTAACTAATATCCTACCTCACTAAAGTGTTTTAGCAACAGAAGGTACATGTGGAAAAAACATGCAAAATAGCTGATACTGTTGTCCAACACAACTTTTATAATTTAATGTTTAATAACTTGAACATTCCAAATAGGGTTCATTGACCTATTGTATGAAGTGAACTTTCATATAATGTGTTTACCAACATACAACATTTTATTATTTAGCGTTTTAATACAAAGTATAATTCAAGGCTTTCAGAAAAAATATAAAACGTTTTGTTGTAAAAGTAGGTATAAAATAATAACCTAACATGTTTCTTAATCCTTCCAACTTAAAAGTTCTTTGTTAGTGTTCTTTAGCCAAGTTTTAATGGCACTGTATTTTAGTGCATTTACACAAAACCACTGTCCTATACCTAGACCCATAGTTTTACTCCCTATAAATTTGTGCCACAATATCTAGGCAGTATTTTAATTGACCTGTGATATTACCCTACACTGGAGGCCACTGTTTGAATGAAGTTACCTCATGGTAGAAGGCAAGTTATGTATCCTGATCTTGAAGGATTTATTAGCTTGCAAACTGTATGGAATATAAGAAATGCCCACCCTTTTTTTCTACTACTCCTTTCTCCCTCCTTTTTTGTGCTTGTGTTTTTTTAACCAACTTGCTAAATTTGAAGGTGACTGAAAATTAATGAATTGTCCTTTAGTATGTAGTATGCAGAGGAATTGTTATGTTTAATTAAGGTTGGTTTTTAAAGAAAATTTCAAGTATCTTTATTTGTTTGTTTGTTTTTGGGTCCGGTTGTGGGGCCTGAACTCTGGGCCTGGGCGCTGTCCCTCAGCTCTTCAGCTCAAGGCTAGCGCTCTACCACTTGAGCCACAGTGCCACTTCCGGCTTTTTTCTATTTGCTTATGTGGTGCTGAGGAATCGAACCCAGGGCCTCATGCATGCAAGGCAAGCACTCTACCGCTGAGCCACCTTCCCAGCCCTCAAGTATCTTTATTGATAGAAGAATTTTAATGAAGACTTTCTACTTTTGTATGACCTATAGCATTGCTATGAGTTATAAAAACAAAAAAGAAGTAAATTAAGTTGTCTCTCTGCTAGAATGCTGAGGAAAGATGAGACGTAAACTGGTACAAAATGAACAATATACATATATTTTTTTTTGTCGGTTTGGGCTTGAACTTTGGGCCTGGATGCTGTCCCTCAGCTCTTCAGCTCAAGGTGAGCGCTCTGCCACTGGAGCCACATTGCTACTTCTGTGAACAATTTATGAGTACTACATTTATATAGAAAAAAGGGAACTTGGTTGAACAAATTGATAGAAATACTTTTGCAAATGAAACAAGTCAAAAGTTTTAGTATAATTAAGTTCACACTTTGATTTGTCTCATGTTTATAAAACTACCTAACTCCAAAGGCCAGTTCTCTATCTCTCCTGAGCATGGTATCCATATTTGCTGTATAAACTATTTGGAATATGTGGTAGAAATGGTTTGATTCTTTCTCTAAAAAATAGGTACAGCTCAAGAGTCAGGATAACAGGACCAAGAAACCAAAGGGGTAAGGTTGTAACACTTCTCTTTTTTTTCGTTTTTGTGTTTATGATTAAAAACTCTTAAGTTTTTAAACACTGGAGCCACTACTTTTAGTTTTGGTATTTCTTTAACTTAGAAAAATAGTTATTCACATGTACTACTTATTGAGCCCTGCAGGTATGTTATTTAAGATTTATATCCCCAAACATGTTGTACAAAGCATTGCCTATAAATAATGATGAAATAAGATCTTTATTCTAGTCATCTTCACTAAGTATAGTTTTCTCTGGACAGAAGTTTTGATGTACTAAGGATATTAATGAATTAACTCCACTTTAGATGTAGAATTTTTGTGATTCTAAGATTCATATGTTTGTGTACTAGTATAAAAATTGCTAAAGATAGATAAATTATATGTTGAAGACATGAGACAAAATATTCTTATTTTCTCAATCTAGTGGCTAATAGCTAATGCATTGTTGTGTGGTATAATTGTGCTAATTGGCAATTTTTTGCGATTATAATTAAATATAACTTTTTTGTGTGCCAGTACTGGGGCTTGAACTCAGGGACTGGGTGCTTACCCTTAGTTAGCTTCTTCTGCTCAAGGCTGGCATGCTATCACTTGAACCATAACTCCTGGTTTTCCGTAGTTAATTAGATATAACAGTCTGGGATTTTCCTGCTTGTCCTGGCTTGTATCCACGATCCTCAGATTTCAGCCTCCTGAGTAGCTAGGATTACTGGCATGAGCCACCACACCTGACTAATAAAACTTTTTTAAGCCTAGTATCTGAAAACAGGTAAGAAGTTACTTCAGGTACTTACTACCCAAAAATAGATACTTAGTGACAATATAAAATGCACAAGCAAGAGGAAATTTTGTGTGTGTGCCTGTGCTTGGGCTTGAACTCTGGCCTTGTGCTCTCTTGTTTGTTTGTTTTTTTCTCACTGCTGCAACTTAGTCACTTGAGCAACAAACACCTCCATTCTAGGATTTTTGGGATTTTTTTTGTTTTTTTGCTACTTCTCTGGGGCTTCTGCTGACTTTGAACCTCAATTCTCAGATCTCTGCCTCCTGATAAGATAGCATGAAATATGTGAACCACTAGCATCTAGTAGGAGGAAAACATTGAACATAATAGAGGCCTAATATCTCATTTTATCTATGTTTTCTACTGGAAATCAGTATGACTAGCTGAGTGCCCAGTGGCTCAAGCCTTTAACCCTAGCTACTCAGGTTCACATTCAGAGGCTCTCAGTTTGAATCCATCACAGGCAAAAAAGTCCATGAGATTCTGTGAAAATAATTAGCAAAATGGTGGGCTGGAAACATGCAAGTAGTAGTGTGTCAGCAGTGAGCAAACAAGCCAAGCCAGAACTTAAGGCTCTTGAGTTTAAGCCACTTTACCAGTACAAAAAAAGTCAGTTTTACTGCAAATAAAATTTGCATATGATATAATTTTAAAAATTTGCAAGCTTCATTAAGTGTTCAGAAACTAGAATCAATGTTTTCTCTAAAGTACGTCCAGAAAAGTTTGCATAAAGTTATTTTTCTGTACTTTGAAAAGGTGACAAGTGTACCACATTTTGTGCTATAAAACTATCTCTCCTTTTTATCATTTGGTATCTTTGACGATATATTGTTTTTCCTCTTTTGAAATATACATTTTTCAATTCAATACTCAAGTATGTTGATAACCTCCAAATTAATAATTAAATGCAAAATTCCCCACTATGGGACTGTGACAATAGGTGATAATAGGTGTTGAGTGCTTGAAAGGTATCAGGCATCCTATACTAGGTGCTTTACTGCAATTTTTCTCCCCTCTCCCCACAGTTCTGAAATACCATTGTTTCCATATTTTTTGATAAGGATGTAGATGCTTGGGAAAGTTAGACCAAAAAAACTAGTAAGTGTAGATTCTAAAGGTTCAGACCTGGAACTTGAAGTCAGCCATTTTACTTTCTAAAATGATAAATCCTAGCTTGAAGAAATCAACTGGATTTGATTTCCTGCCTCGTCTCCAATTTTATTGAAATTGTAACACTGCCTTAGTTACACATAACCATAGTTATTGGGTTACCATTTTTTGCTTTTGGTTAAAATATTTGAATGTTTGCATCTGAAAATACGAATTTTAAGTTTATGCACATTTGATGAACTTTATAAGCTTCATTGACATCTTTATTCATCTTTCTACGAAAAGATATCATAAGATAGTTTGTCAGTTTCCTTTTTTAAATTAATCCTTGTACCTTGATAGGTATTACTA